TCGATTTAAAAACGATATTACGGTGATAATGATGATGATGATGGTGATGGTGATGATGGAGTCGATGACGACGACGACGACGACGGCGAAAGGTATTATGATGTCGATAAAAATAATAATAATAATAATGATAATAATGATAATGATTATCATTATTAACATTATTATTATGAAATATGCGGACGATGAATCACGTTTTGCGTAAATATGTGGCAAAAACGGATTCCCCCGTGTCAGGTTTATCAGGTTTTTATTAAAATGGATTCTCTCCTTCCCTCCCTCCCTTCATTTTCATTCAATTTTGTTTTTACCATAGGGAATGTCGTCATTATAGTTTGTCCTTGTTTATCTGCATACGTAAACGAAAGAGCGAACGTTTTAAGATTGAAAAAAAAAAAAAAACTAATAATAAAGAAAGGAAAAAAAGGTTTTAACGTTTTTTTGGCATTTTTAATCTATTTAAAAAAAAAAAGTAAAAATGGCCGACGCTCAAGGGAAAAATAAAATTTCAACACGGCGCGCGGATTGTTAAAGAAAATTAATATTAACCGTGTATATATAAATATAATGCCTGAAAGTTTTATCATCGTACGACGACGACGACGATGCTATTGACACTTTTTTTCCTTTTCTATTTACCCGTTGGCATTTAATTTTGTTTTTCGTTAACGTTTTTCTCTCTTTAACCCCTTCCTCTCCCTCCCCACTTCTTTTCCACCTTGTTTCCTCTCATTAAAAAAAAAAAGTTTCAATTATTATTATTATTTTCGAACGTGGCATCGTCGTTATTTCATTCTCCCCTACCCCCTCCCTCCCCCGAAAATGTATTCGTTGATAATAATAATAATAAGCCGACTAATTTTTTCTTTCCGTGAAAATAAAAAAATAAAATGAATGAATGAATGAACTTGTTATTAAAAAAAATTATTTTAAATAAAATGTATAATGATAATGATAATAATTGTATATAATAATAATTCTGAGATATTTGGTGAGTAAATCCCCGCCCTCCTCCTCCTTCTCGTGCCGCCACCGCCGCGACGACGATGATGATGATAATAATAAAAAATTAAAATTTATTTATTATTTTCTTAGAAAAAACATGTGATTTAATACGCCTTCGGCATGAAACTGAAAATGTCGGATTATTATTATTATTATTATTATTATTATTATTATTATTCACGATGGAAAAAAGGCAAAAAAAAAAAGTTAGAAACTAAACAAATTATTAGTTAGAAAGAAGCATTTTATATGTCGTTTTCGTAATTTTCTTTTTTTTTCTCCAAAATACGAAAAAAAATCGTTTCGGTGAAAATCATTTTGGGGGGGGAGGGGAAACAAAAATAACGAAATAACTTCGCGATAAGAAAAGATAACAATATTATTATTATTATTATTATTATTAATAATAAAATAAAAATACCTGCGAGTTAATTTTTGACACACAAAAAAATAACAATTTTTCAATCATTTTTCGTTTTCCGTTTCCCAATCATTGTTCGTTCACATGAGTCATAAACGTAAATAATAAAGGAGGCCTTCTTTAATGAGTAGAAAACGTAAGGAAACAATCACACACTTCCGGTAAAAATCAATAACTAATTACCCGATTTTTTTCATTAAAAAATGTCCCCTTCCTCATTTTTCCAACGGACACCATCAATTTATCTTCGCTTATTTTCATTTGAATTTTTCTTTTTTTTTTTTTTGGCGGCAAATTATTTGAATTTTCACCGCCACCACCGCCTTCCAATACAAATTGTGGAATAAGTAAAAAAAGAAAAAAGAAAGAATCAAAACAATTTAATATTTTTATGCCAAAATCATCATTTTTATTTTATTTTTTTTTTTAATTACTTTTTACAATAATAATAATAATGATCATGATAATAATGATAATAATAATAATAATAATTTTGTCAATAATCAATTAAAAAACAAAATTATAATTAATTAATTAATTAATTTACAGTAATAATAATAATAATAATAATAATAATATTAAATTAAGAGAAAAAGAGAGAGAGAGAGAGAGAGAGAGAGAGAGAGAGAGAGATAGAGTTAAAAAAAAAAGATTTTTTTAAAAATATATATATATATATAAAAAAAAAGTCTTTATTATTAATACTTAAATAACATTAATTAATAATATTGATAATAATAATAAAAAAAAAAGATTCGAAAGGTAGTAAAAAAAAAATATTAATAATAATAATAATAATAACATTATCCGCGTTTTTTTTTCTTTTTTTTTTTTTTTTTTTTAATATAAAATATTTATTATTATTATTAATATTATTATTAATTGTTTTTCTTTTTTGCTTTTACATTATTAAAAAAAAAAAAAAATTTATTTTAAATAATATTAATTAATAATAATAATAATAATAATAATAATACAATTTTTTTTTTTTTAATTTTAATCTCTCGATACGTTGTTTTGAAAATAATAATGATAATACATTTACACTAAAAAAAAAAAAATGTAAATTTTCATGTTTTTCTTTTTTTCTTTCTTTCTAACCAAATCTGGTCGTCACAGTTTTTGCTTACATTTAATTATTATTATTATTATTATTTAAAAAAAAAAAAATTAAAATTAAAATTAACAAACAATTGCATCGTTCAAGATATGCGTTATCATCATTTAATAAAAAAAAATATTAAAAACAATACGAAATAAATTTTTTTTTTATTTAAAAACGAAATGAAATAATTAAACTAATAATAATAATAATAATAATGATAATAATAATAATAATAAAACAAATGTTTAAAAAAAACAATATACCCCCGATGAATTTAATCACAACGACGAATTAATTCGCGCGCAAAAAACAAAAACATAATAACAAAATCATTTGGTTGACACGTGACAATTATTATTATTATTATCATCGTTGAAATTATTATAAATAACCTATGTAAAGTAAAAAAAAAAAAAAAAAAACGTTTATTTATATAAAAATTTAAAAAGTTTATAAAAGTTTATATAAAAATAAAAAAAAGGAACAAAAAGGGGGAGGGGGAAAATAAAAACAAAAGAACGAACGAACGAACAAACAATAATTTAATTAATAATAATAATAATAATAATTAATTTATTTATTTATTATTGTAAATGCGCAATTGTCATACGTAACAGATAATTATTTATTTATTTCTCTGTAATTAATTAATTAATTAAAAAAAAAAAAAAAAACTGTATTTAACCGTTTTATTTATCGTCTTTTTTTTTTGTACATAAAATATCATCATCATCATCATCATTATTATTATCATCATATTATTTATTTATATATATATTTATTTCATATGTATATAAATCTATGAACGTGTTGCATTTAAAATATATATATATTTTTTGTTTATTTAAAAAAAAATGAATAATAATAATAATGATAATGATAATAATCATTCGAAAAAAATATTTAAAAAAAAAAATTACATATGTATAAAAACAAACAAACGAACGAACGAACAAACGGACAAACAAACAACAAACTCATATATCGAAAACAATATCAACCGCCGAAATGTATTTTTTTTTTACGTAATATTATTATTATTATTATTATTATATACATACATATTTATACGCGTATACGTATACATACATTTTCTGGTGGTGACGTCACATTTTTCGAATTACCCGCCAAAAATATACATAGATATATTTCACGCAAAAGTAATTAAACGAGAGCGCGCTAGTGTCGTTTCCATATATGTATACGTATACGTTTTAATATGTATTTATTTATTTATTTTTTTATTTGTCAACGATACGTTTGCTTATTGCTTATTACATTATTAATGATAATGATAATAAAATATAACCATTTTTTATTTATTAATTATTTATTTATTTATTAATTATTATTAAACTATTTTTTTTCCGTCTCTTTTTTATTTTTTTATTTTTTGAAAAATATTATATATAAACTATTTTATATTTTGAGCTTTTCCCGTACTAGTGTTTATTTATTATTTATTTATTTCTGTACGAATGTATAAAAATATATGTATAAAAAAAAGAGAGAGAGAGAAAGAGCGAAAACAAACGAACAAACAAACGTAAGTAAGGAACAAACGTAATTAATAATAAAAAGTTTTGTTTAAACATAAACGACGTAGTACACGTACGTACGTACATAGTGAATGTATGAATGCCTTTTTAATCATTTATTTATATATATATATAAACATAAACAAATTTAACGGTTTTCCCTCCCCTCCCCACCCCCCCCCCTTTATATATAAAAAAAAATTACCTTAATATATAATATGTATGTATACTATAATGCCTTTCGTGGTGTGGAGTTGTTTAGTCACAGTATTTATCATAATAATAATAGTAATGCCTATAAGTTTAGTACTCGCTGTCGTCGTCAGATCGCGATACTAATTAATTAATGACACGTTGCTTATTACGTCACTATTACGTCACGTCCGCAACCGTTTTCCTCGTCAGTTATTACCTTATTGCATGCGAGAGAAAAAAAAACGAACAAAAAATTTCTTTGCATCGAATTAATAATAATGATAATAAAACAATTAATCAATTTCGAATGATTGATAGAATCAATAATAATAATAATAATAATAATAATAATAATAATAATAATAATAATAATAATAAAAACAAATCGACACACGGTATTACACACGACTTTAAATTTAATATAAATACACACGATAATAATAATAAAAGGAATTTTGTTATTGTTTGTCATAGAGTATAAAAATTTTTTTTTCCTGTTATTTTTTATCATTATTATTATTATTATTATTTAATCATCATATATAATTTTCGAATTGGATTTGTTTTTTTTTGTTTTGTTTTATTATTCTATGAAATCTACTCGTTTTAATTTTTTTTTTTTTTTTTTTTATATAATTTTTTCGAAATCATTTTTTCCTTTTTTTTTTCTTTTTCTTTTTTTTTAAAATTTTATTATTATTATTATTATTATTATTATTATGAATAAAATTTATATTCATTTCGTTTCTATTTTATTTTTGGCTACGAGTAAATCATCAATCACCTTGTTCATAAATTTTCTTTTACCGTTTTTATGTGTGCCAACGTGTTTGAGCATGTGATCCTTACGTATGAAGCCTTTGCCGCAATGTTGGCACGCGTATGGTTTCTCTCCGGAGTGTAAGCACAAATGTCGGCGGAGATCCGTTTTGTGATTAAATGATTTCGGACATATTTCGCATTTGTAGGGTTTTTCTCCGCCATGTTTTTTAGAATGATCTCTCGCGCGTATTTCCGAATGAAAACGTTTTCCGCAGCGATCGCATTTGAAGGGTTTTTCGCCGCTGTGAAAACTCTTGTTGTGCTGCGTGAGGTAGCATATCCGGTTGAAATACTTGTCGCATTCCTCGCATTTAATAACGGCTTTTTTCGCCGCGGGTTGAGGACTTCCCGTCGACGTCACGACGTTCGATGATTCCTCCGATTTCCTCTTCGTTGATTTTTTCTTTTTCATCTTTTTCATGACCGCCGGTTCCGAAAGTTCCAAATTCGTTGACGTTGGAAATTCAATCGGGCTCATCGGTGGGATTTGCGAATTATCCGAATTATCGCTTAAATCGTCCAATTCCATTTTGATGTTGAGCAATTCCATGTGCCTCCGATCGGATGAGAAAAAATCAGTGTTTTTCTCACTCCCGTCTGATTTCCCATTGATTTCATCCTCTATGAAATCTTGAGCGTAAACGGTTTTCACCGTGTTGTCCGTTAAATCTGATTTTATGTACGTGAATACCTGGCAGGATGAATTTGGCGAGTAGTAACCTTTGTCGAACGGTGATGTATTGTTAGTAAAATTGTTCTGTTGGAAAATTGACGTTTGAAAATTTGAAAAACTCGGGAGCGGAGCGTTTTGATGTAACGCCGTATTACCAATAATTATAGGGCTGTTGATATATTGAGGGGTAATATGCTGGTCTTGTGGCTGGGAGGGCACCTCGCTTGCTGGGACCATCAAAATGTTCTCCCCCATGAATGTGTTCATATGGTTCGGGGTACGAAGGGAAGGGTGCAAAGGGGGGCAGATAGGCAGGCCCCCCGAGGGGGAGACCGAGGGACCTGCCTGGAAGTTTGGGGACTGGGCAGAAACTTGATTTGTACTATTTTGTTGATTATGTAGAGGTAGTCTATCGTATCGATAATATTCGTAATTTTGGGTTACGGGAAGATCCGAATTGGATGCTGGACGGTTCAAATCTTGTATTGTATAACCGTTTTGAGTTCGGTTATCAAAATCGGTCGACCGCCCGTCGAAATTCTGTGTTGGCCGCTGATCGAAACTTTGCGGCGTCGATCTCTGATCGAAATTCTGTGGTGGCGTTCTCTGGTCTGTGAAAGCCGTCGATCCGCTTCCGGGAGTCGTTCTGTCGAAAGCCGATGTTTGACTTGTTTGTATCATGTCGAATCCGGCTGCGCCACCGAATCCGTGTTGAACGGGACGATCGTACGTCCCGTTCGGCACCGATCCGTTCCTATCGTACATTCTATCGTAAATGTTGTCGTTGCTCCTTGACGAATCCCCTTCGTTCGCGTTGCTCAAAGCCGGACTCGGAGTGTTGGCTTCACCCTGTGGAGATATGGATTTGGCTTTTTTCGCCTTCGTCACGCCGGACAAATTCGGCGGTGGATTCGACATTCCAGCGGGCGTTTTTGAACTGTGAATGTAATTCGGATCCCGATTCGGATGGTGATGACTGCTTATTGGCAACGTTGCCGGATCGGGTTGACCACTTTGTTTAACCGCATTCTTATGTAACGTCGTGTTGTAATGCCTTTTCAAGTGTCCACTACTCGTAAACCATTTATTACAAGCGGAACAATTATAAGTCTTCGGTCTCCTAGCTTCGTTTGACTTCCACGAATCACCCTTTGTAGCACTCATACCGGAATGAGGTAATGAATTATTAGGATTTGTTAGCTTAGGACTAGCAGAATTAGGAATTTGGTTATTATTAATACTTTGATTAGGAACATTCGACTGTTGAGGAAAGGCTTCCGATGGGAAATTCCTCGGTTGAAAATTAGCACTCGGCAGTGGCCCATTTTGCGGTGGATAATTCTGCGGAGGATTGGTCGATGATACCAAATAAGGCTGCTGAGGTGGAGGATATTGAGGTTTCACGCTGTTGGACCAAGGTGTGAGCATTGCGGAAACCGAATGAGGATTCGAAACCGGCGTCGGCGGTCCCGCCGAATCTTCTTCTGGAGATCGAAATACTTTTTGCTGCGAATCCAAATCCAGAATATCTGGAGAATCTTGAATGACTTCTTGTTTGACGGCTTCGGGTCTGAAAAACGTTTCCGAGGGTTGAAACGCGCTCGATCCGTGATTGTAAACCATTGGGGAGGGCGCGTGAACCGTTTTCACGTGATCGCTCAGCGTCGATGCCGAATCGCATATAAAACCGCATTTCTCGCACTGAAATGGCGACTGTGGTCGAAAACTATTTGGCGACGAAGAACTAACACCGTTTTTATCAAGCGGATAACAATTCTTATTGATCATGTTAAAACGAAACGCGGACGAAGAACTTGGTGAATTTGATCTTTGGCCAGGAATTCTGGGTGGAAAATCATTGTTCGCTCCTACTCCTGCTCCTCCTCCTCCTCCCCCTCCCATTAAATAAGGTTCTTGTGAGGGTTCGGCAAAAAACGGTTGTTGCGACGACGGTTCCACCGACGGAGGTTGAGATCTCGGTGATCTTAAATTACTAGGATAATTAGTAAATGGCAACTGATAAGGTTCGGTCGTACCGTTTGAATACCCGAAAGACGTACTCGAAGGTGACGGACCCGGATTATTAGAAGGCGAAAAGCGTTGGATATCGTTTTGATATGGACTCGGTGCGCTAGAATAACTAGTCGGTGTGTGAGGATGAGTAAACGGGCTGCTTGTCGGGGGGTAACTTGAATTTGAGCTCGGTCTACCCGGTCCCGTTGGCAAAACGGGTTTCATATCGGTCGAATCAGCGGGAGCTGCCACTAAATTATGAAATTCTCGTCTCGATTTGACATTATTGTTTTCCGAATCCGTTCTTGACGAATCGATCGTCGTCGTCGTCGTCGCCGCCGCTGCAGCCGCAGCTGCTGCCGCTGCGGCATTGGCTTGATTCGCCCACTTTGTCAATAAATTTTCCTTGTGATATTGCAAATGAACTTCCAATGATTTTGAACTTTCGAAAAACAATCCGCAATCTCTGCAATGATGTCCCGTACGACTGTTGTCATTTGACTCTTGTAATGCCATCATTCGTATGAGGTTGTCATAATATTCTTGAATTTAAATTAAAACAATCCGAACGCATTTTCTTCTTTTTACTTTTTAATTTTCTTTTTTCTTTTCGTTTGTTGCGTGTGTTTGTTTTTGTCTTCTTGGAAAAAAATTTTTTTCTTAACGACAATTTCCTTTTCTTTTTTTTTTTAAAATCTTTTTTTTAGACTCTAATAATTTTTCTTTTTAAACAAAAAATTCTTTTTTTTTTTTGTTGTCATGTATCCAATATAAACAACCAAAACAAAAACGGAAAAACTTATCTGATCTATTGTCACATTTTTTGTTTTTGTTCATTCATTAGAAAATGTCATCATCGTCGACATGTGGTGTTCATCAACAATTGGTTCTTTCAACAAACGATGGTCGATGATAACGATGGCGTCGTACTCGATGTCAATTTTGCCCATGCTGGTGTCACGACAACAACTTTTCTTCCAAGACAATTCTGCAACAATAACAACAATAAAAAAATTATTTTTTTTTTAACCCGGAAAAAAAATGGCGGCGACGAATTAAAATAATGATGATCGACCGGTAAAAAAAAAATGTGGTAAAATTTTCTTCTTCGAGAAAAGAGAGAAAGAGAGAGAGAAGAAAAAAACCAAAGTCATGTCTCTTTCTCACTCAAATGGGTCACTCGTTTGTTCTTTAATATAGGTTAGGACGCGGCGTTTGTTTTCTTTTTTTTTTTTTTTTTTTTTGTTTCCGTTAACTTTTTTTTATTTTTTACGAGACTTGATTTTTTTTCCTTCTTACTTTCCGGTGGTAAAAAGAGAGAAAGAGAGAGAGAGAGAGAAACATTCGCGTGAGAGATCATCGTTTGTTGTCCGTACAACTACAAACAATTCATAACATTACTCATCGTAATTGATTTCTAAGAAAAATTAAATTCATATGATTAAATCATCTTCAAAACTTCTTTTTCATTTTTTTCCTGAATATTTCGGATATTGATTCCACAATTACGATCGACAAACAAACAAACAAACAAACAAACGAACAAACAATAACATTTAAAAAAATTAATAATAATGATAATAATATAAACATTCTTTTTTTTTTTCTTTTTCTTTTTCTTTTTTTTTAGAATATGACTAGTTGACGTCCTTGGCTGGAAGTGGGAAACGTTTGTTGGTCTTCAAAAAAAAAAAAAATTGTTTTGTTTTAACTGACTAACATACAGTTACATACAAACGCAAAGGTTACAAACAACAACAACCACGACTACGACGACATGGTAGTTATTTAAAAAAAAAAATTGAGGTTCTTAAGAAATTTGCTTCTCTTCATCTTCTTCTTTTTTTTTTTTTAAAGTTATCCACCTCCTGCTTCCCCCTTTAAGAAACAACAACAACAACAAACAACCTTATCATAAAGATAATAAATTCCTGAGTCGAATAATAACTTTTTTACAACACGGCCATAATAATAATAATAATAGACTAGGGCAACTTTTAATCTTGTTAATATTAACCAACCGAAATTCATAAGAAAAAAAAAAAAATGATGATGATAATGATGATGTTGTTCACGTCGACTATGTCGACGACGATAATGATAATAATAATAATAATCAAAAATGGTAATAAGTTGTGTGTGTGAGAGAGAGAGAAAAAACTTTCGTTCTAGAATTTTCTTAAACGTTAAAAATAATCGAATGAATCGATTCCAGTGAAAATTTTTCATTATTAATAATAATAATAATAATATTTCTTCGTGGATGAAGGATAAGAAAATAAGAAATAAGACGACGATGACGGTTAGAAAAAAAAAAAAAAAAAACGAAACGAAAACGAAAAAAAAAAAAAAAAATTCTAACCGCATCATTTGGCAACGTTGTAAAGTAACCCATAATTTAGATGGCTAAAGACACTCCTGGACAAAGAATCCATTACAGAGCCAATAAATTTTCTCGCCGGCGTTTTTTTTTTCTCCTTCTTTCTTTCTTTCTTTCTTTTTCTTTTTCTCCTTGTTCTCTCTCTCTCTCTCTCTCTCTCTCTCTATCATTTCTTCCCTTTTTCTTTCCTTTCTTCATTTCCTTTTAATAGCTTTTTAACACTTTTTCAACACACACACACACACACACACACACACACACAGTCAGTCACACACACGACGTGTACACTCGAATCGAACGCGATAATAATTCGGGGGGGGGGAATTTAAGTTGGCAATTAATTTTCGCGCCAAAACAAATTCAAATTTTCAAAACAAAAATAATTTTCATTCCCAACCACAACAACAACAACAACAACATGGAATAAATATATGGATGTGATTTTCCCGCCGTTACGTAATTAATTTAAACTCGACGCCATATTTGAATTTTTCCCAATCAAAACTCAATAATTTCGTTGATGATAATAATAATAATAATAATAATAATAATAATAATATTATAAAATCAAATCGGACGAAAGTAAAATTTTTTTTATTTGTTTTACCCTAGACGTTTTTTTTTTTCGCATTAAAAAATAATTTATGACGTTTTGCTGAAAAGTAATAAATAATTTTTTATTATTGTAATTTCATTTTTTTTTTTCGTTTCGTTTTGTTTGTTGTTTGCCATTTTAATTTGTCGGTTGTTTAAACGTTTTTACTTAAGACTATACAACAACACGAACAATGCGACGACGACAATCAAGTTAAAATTTGACGAATTTCGATTTCGAAAAAAAAATAACCGTTGCGATTGTTTTGCGTTTGTTTCCCTCTCTCTCTCTCTCTCTTTCTACAAAAAGTTTGTCGTTTGTTGTTTGCACAAGTCGAAAGTTTTTTCCCTCGCAAAATTTGAAAAAAAAAAAAAAAAAAAAAAAACGGAAAATCTTTTGCGGGCCGACTCGTGTCGGTTGAATTCGCGGGGGAAGGGAAAATCGCGAATAATGAATAAAGAGAGAGAGAGAGAGAAAGGGAAAAAAACGTGTCATTAGAATCATTCATTTCTCGTTGTTTTAAATATTGCAAATGATTAAGCGTTTGAGAATCGTATATAAAAATTTCTTGGAAAAAAATAAAATGAATCATTCTATCTATCTCTCTCTCTCTCTCTTTTTCCATAAAACGCGAGTCCGGTCATTCAATTCCTCGTGGAATTAAGAAAAGTTTTTTTTTTCTACTTCCTATCGTACCCTTACCACCGCCATTTTTTTTTTGGGGGGGGGAGGAAAAGAAAAACAAAACAAACAAATTGGAAATCAAAAAAAAGTTTTTTACTCGTGCACACACACTGAAGGCAAGTTTTGAACCTGGCGCCTAAAATTCAGGGTCAAATAATAATATATAGAATGGTTTTTCAATAAATGTAATTTTTTTATCCTTCTTCTACGCGTAGGGTTAGGCTAAATGTGAGCGAGAGAGAGAGAGAGAAAAAGAGAGAGATACTTCGACTTTCAAGGTCACGAATTACTTTATAAATAATTATTTAATTACGCAAGCAAGCAAACAGTTCCTCGTATAATTATTCCAGACTCTTGTTCTTTCCATTTTATTTATTTATTTATTTTTTTGTAAATTTCCGCCATTTTTTGTTTTTGATCACTCTTCTCTTACTGTTAATGTTAATAATAACATCTCGTCCGTCCTCACCATTCAAATTTTTTCGAGGAAAACAAACAAACAAACAAGCAAGCAAGCAAAAAAAAAAAAACCGCGAAAATTTATTTCACGGGCAATGTCACAGCCTTGTCGAAAAGAGTGAGTGAGCGAGCCAGCGAGTCATAGAGTAAGAAGAGAGAAAATTTGATTCGAAACTTATTCACGATGTTTTGTCATTTACACTATGAAAATTATTTAAAATAATAATAATAATAATATTCAAATTTTTAATTAATTAAAATGAGTATTGAATATTTTCAAAATGGCCGAAAACGAAACGAAACGAAAAATTATATCTCAATCTTTAATTTCAATCAAAAAAAAATTAAATGGATTTTTAATTTTTTTTTTGTTTTACACATCATCATCATCATCATCTCCTTTTTCACGTACCTCGATTCGAACCTATAAATTATTATTATTATCATTATTTTTTAAAGAGGTAAAAAGGAATTAATGACTAATTAAACGAATTTCAATTAAAAGCGAATGATTAAAAAAAAAAAAAGCAAAAATCGAATTTTGTCCATATTAAAAAAAAAAAAAACAAAAAAGCAGAAGAAAAATTTTTAAACGATAAACAAGCACGTGACTGGCCATTTTTTTCTCTTCCGAACGTAAAAGATTGTCGTCAAATTAACGAGAAAGAAGAAGAAAAAATAAGAAACCACTGACCTACCTTCCCCCATAAAAACTTAAAAAAATATTTTTAAGAAATTTTTTTTCAAAAGTTGGCGGCACTTCCCGCGCCGGCGGGAGGAAGGGAAAAAAAAACTAAAGCAATAAATAAATAAACAAACCGTCGGCCATTTTGAATTTTTTTTTAAACGTTTTCCTCCTATGGTCGAAAATTAAAAAAACCGTTTTCCTTTTTTTTGACAAAGTCGTAAAAAAAAAAAAAAATAATAATAATAATAATAATAATAATAATAATAATAATAATAAATAGAAACTTTTTTTTTTTTTTTCGAAAAAAGAAAGAAAAAACTGGGGCAGTGCCATTGTGTCGGCTTCTTTTATTTTTTCCAAAAAAAAAAAAAAAAAATTTCACCTTTTTTTTAAGCCGAATTTTTTGTGTGCGTGCGTTAGTACGTGCGTGAGTGCGCGTCATAGAGAGCAATAAAAAATTTACCCCCTTATAAAAAAAAAAAAATAATCATATCAATAGTAACGAACCAAAATAAATAAATAAAAATTCGGGGCGGTTTTTCTTTCTTTTCTTTTACTTTATTATCATGTCACTTTCCAATTTTCCCCCCAAAAAAAAGAAAAAGAAAGAAGAAGAAAGATTTACAATTGCAAATTTTTTTATCTTTTTTTAAATGCCATAAATTTTCATTTATTACCCAAGTACAAAACTGTCGGCCATATTACAAGAG